TGAAGCTTTCTACGAGTTGTAGTTGCCCTTCATTGATGAAGTTTTTATTGGCACCATAAATTGGTTTTGTTTCACACTGTCTTGATCAAAAGTATGTGAAGCTTTTAAGAATTGTGATTGAACTCTTTTGATAAAGCTCTTGTTGGCATCATAAATTAGTTTTGCTTCACACTGTGTTGATCAAAAGTGTGTGAAGCTTTTGAGAATTGTGGTTGCCCTCCATTGATGAAGCTCTTGTTGGCAACATAAATTGGTTTTGCTTCACACTGTCTTGATCAAGAGTGTGTGAAGCTTTTGAGAATTGTGGTTGAACTCCTTTGATGAAGCTCTTGTTAGCATCATAAATTGGTTTTACTTCACACTGTCTTGATCAAGAGTGTGTGAAGCTTTTGAGAATTGTGGTTGCCCTCCATTGATGAAGTTCTTGTTAGCATCATAAATTGGTTTTGCTTCACATTGTCTTGATCAAGAGTGTGTGAAGCTTTTGAGAATTGTGGTTGCCCTCCATTGATGAAGCTCTTATTGGCACTATAAATTGGTTTTGTTTCACACTGTCTTGATCAAGAGTGTGTGAAGCTTTCTACGAGTTATAGTGTTTACATTGTTACAGAGGAGAAATGTATGAAGCAGATGCAAGAGGGCTGAATAGCTTGATCTTCGTATGCCATGCACTGAAGTTGTTGTTGGCTTGCAATAAGACTTTGTTGGTGACTATAACTCTTGTTGGGCATAAGTGCTCCCCTAGTTGAGTTGTCAAGCTTGAGGGTTTTTGATTATTTGTGAATGCTAGGAGTTCACATGTACAAGTTGTACCACTTGTCTTCTGGTAGGTGGAATGAATGGTGAGTTGCTTTCATCACTTGGTTGGTGGTACAACAGTGAGTTCCTTCATCACCTTTCATCACATTTCATCACCTGGTTGGTGGCACGAAGATGAGTTCCTTCTTCACCTGGTTAGTGGCATGAATGGCAAGTTGCCAAATGATATTAGAGTACGGGTTGTACATTTCATCACCTGGTTGATGGCATGAAGGAGAGTACGGGTTGTACATTTCATCACCTGGTTGGTGGCAGAGTGGCAAGTTGCCAAATGATATTAGAGTACAGGTTGTACATTTCATCACCTGGTTGGTGGCATGAAGATGAGTTTCTTCTTCACATTTCATCACCTAGTTGGTGAGAATAAGGGCAAGGTGTTGAGGCACATTGTAGCAAGTGTTGAATAACACAAAGTATGTTGAACCCTTTCGAAGCACAGTTGACTTATGTATGAATGTGTTGGAATGTATGATTGAAAAAATATATTGTAAAGCTGTTCGTTTATTTGTATAGTCTTGTTGACATATACTTAGACTTTGTTTCATGTTGGAAACATTCATGTTGAAGCTTTGAACCTGAGTGTTTCATTGCTAGGAATGTAAGAGGATTAGGACCAAGTTGTCTAAATCACCTCTTTATTGAATTCATGCCAAATAGTCTTCATTACATAGGATACCGAACGGCTGAAACTTAACATTTGTACAATGTGAGTTTATGATAGGGGCATATTTATGCGACTTAGTTAGCTTGTTCTTGTGCATTTATGTTGTTATTTCTTAGTCAATTATGTATTTTAAGCTATTTTCATGTGTTTGTAGGTTCAAATATCAAAGTTAGCAACAAAGTGCTATTTGGAGCATTTTTGGGCCAAGATTGGATAGTGCAAGCATGGAGACTTGAGGATTGACGTTTTTTAAGATTTGAATGCTAGAAATCAGCATGTGTGTGTACAAGTGTGTTGACCTACAACTCCAAACATCCATCCACTACACCCATTACATCCACTCGTTACCAAACATTCACCCACTACACCCATTACATCCACTCATTACCAAACACTCACCCACTACACCCATTACATCCACTCATTACCAAACACTCATCCACTACAACCATTACATCCACTCATTACCAAACACTCACCCACTACACCCATTACATCCACTCATTACCACAACATACACCACTACCACCTTAATTAGATGGTGGTCCTCTCCCTAGCCTATAAATACATCCATCATTCACCATAACAGAGAAGAGGGAGAAAAAATCCATCCAAAGACACTACATTCACATCTCACAACTCCATACACTTACACTTTCATTCCTTCGGGGAGAACACATTTCACCCATCCACCCTTCACCATAACTCACCTATATCTATCCACCACCATAATTTACCACTCATCCATCAAACCACACTTTGTGCCGCAACAAAGAGAAGAAGGAGGACCCTTGGACGTGCTTGCCATTCAAGTTGGATTGTTGGAGCGTTTTTAGGTGTTTTCATTCTTTTGTTTTCAATGTCTAAATTTGTTTATATTTGCTTTGTGAGTATGAGGAACTAAACCCCCCTTAGCTAGGGCGAATTCGAAACCATATTCATGCTTGCAATATGATTTGATTACCTTCAGTTATGATTTCATAAGTTGTGAATTCAATTTGTTTAACTGCTTGATTGATAACTTATTCATGTATGTTTATTAAGAGTGCACACTTAGTTTGCATGCATGAATATGATGCTAGAGTATAAGGGAGTTTCACCTAATAGTTACAAACTTATATTCACAAGTAGTGGAGGTCGCTTATAAACGATCACGTTAAATAAATTCTTGGCAGGAGTTTCATGCTCATCATAGTAACGAATGCCTTATCAATACTTATAGTTTTCATAATGCTTAATGATCTTTGATTGTATCTTTATTGTGTTGTTCACGTAAAGAACTTTTGAAGAATGCTTGAATTGTTGTATGCGTTTTCCCATCCAATTCAATAACTTAAGGAGAACTTAAAGGTTAATTTAAGCGGACTTAATTAACCTGGGGTATTGAGTTTCATGATTGATCGAAAGAACAACTGAAAATTGGTTTATGTGCAAGTATGTCATGTGTGGAGAAGAACCTCCTAGCTAGCCTTCCATCCATTCAATTTACTCAAATTCGTGCAGCTTTCATTAGTTATTTAATTTACTTGTTTTGTTTTCAAATTCTTCAAAACCAAAACCCCCTTTACTTTAAAGTGTTTTATTAGTCAAAATCTGTTTTGATTTGTGTTTTTAGGTGTCCCAAAAGTGTGTTAGAGTCCAAATCTGCCCAGTTTGTGTTTTTAAGCAGATTTGAGCGTTTTTAGCTTGTTTTGAGTCATTTGAGTTTGTTTTAAGTTCTTTGAGTCTAGTTTAGTGTTTTTAACTTTGTTTATATGTTTTTAAGTCAGTTTAGAGGTTTTAGCAAGCCCTCTTAATCTCCGGTTTAGAACGATCCCTATTTGCATTTATACTACAATTTGACAACAAGAGGGTTTAATTTGTGTGTTAAGTTAATTTTCGCATCAGTTTACTTGTAATAGTATTTCAAGTGATCAGCGTTCCATGGATGGCCAAGGGTTTTGCCATTGGAGCTTCTAAGCTTGTAAGAGCCAGGGCGACTGATGCCAACAACTTCAAATGGTCCATCCCAATTTGGACTAAGTGTTCCTTCACTCGAGACTCTGTCGCAGAGTAATCTTTTCTTCAATACCTAGTCCCCCACTTTGAAAGAACGAGGTTTGACCCTTGAGTCATAGTAGTTGGAGATGTGCTGCTTGTAGGCGACATTCCTCAAGTGAGTCTGGTTTCTGTGTTCCTCGACTAGATGTAAGTTGAGGGTAAGTTGTTTGTCATTTTCGCTTTGCACGTAGTTCTGGACTCGGAACGTTGCTTGCTCAAGCTCAATTGGGACAACTGCCTCTGTACCAAAGGCAAGTGAGAATAGGGTTTCTCCTGTTGATGTCTGATACAAAGACTATTGAAAGCATGAAGCATGTCATGTTCTCCCTTAATCATATTGTGTAAGGCGATTAGTGATAGAAGAATTGTGTGATACAATAAAACTAAATTGACGGTCACAAAATAGAAAAGTGATAAGTTTTCCAAATTCAATTAGTTAATCAAAAAGTGATCTAAGTTTTCCAAATTCAATTAGCTAATCAAACTTATATTACAGACATACTGCTTCCGGTGATAAAGGATTTGAGAACAAACTACAAATCTGCATTTGAAACTCTTCACACGATAGATGATCGATGCAGAGAGAGAAGCATTGCAAACTGAACATGTAAAAATATCCAATCTTTAACCAAACAATCTAAACCCTAAACCCTGACAAAATTATAGTACAACTGCAATTAGGGTTTCATCAAAATTTCAGTAATTAATCCTTGAAATTAAGCTGCATAAAAAAGTTATAGATCCAAGATTAGAAGCACTCACTGCAAACTATCCACTTTGAGACCAACAGAGGTGAAGAGAGAAGAGAGAGCAAACGGCTACGAAAGAAGCAGAAAGAACAGCTGTAAAACGACGCGACTCATTTGGGGAAAACAGCATAAAGAAACAAAACACCCAGGTTTTTAAAAGATGAAACCGGATTTGAGGCAGAGAGATACAGAAAGAAAGAAGCAGAAAAGAGGATGGTAACTAAACTTTCCAGCGGCTTCGTTCTTTAAAAATAATTTTATGACAAAAATACCCTTGGATAATTTTATGCATTCTGTTTTGCTGGTTTGAATTTTTTTTGGCCGAGGGGCATTTGCATCCAAATATTTTTGGCGAAGCCGGTGACACCAAAACCGACTTCCGACTTTCTATATAAATAAAAGAAGATGATGATATAATGTGGATGTGTGGAGAAAAAGAATTTGAATCTAACGTTGGTTGGGTTTGGGTTTGTAACTTGTGGATGGGTGGGTGGACGGAAGGAATAGTAGCAGTGGTGAAATGTAAACAAAGTAAAGCACTTCGGTATGAAATTATTATCCTAGCCAGTCAATGGCAAATTGGCAATTAGCAATTGGCATAGGCGCGTGGGGTAGGAAAAAGTATACAAGGTGTCGTTGTCGCAGCAGTGGAGTGGTCAGTGTTATTAACCAAATAAATATAAATATTAAATTGATTATATTACTTAAACTTAATCAACAAAAATAAAAAGAAAAATAATTAGGGGAAGGAAGAAAAAGAATTCCATCCCATCACAAAACTGGAAGTCTGGAAGCCACATGGTATGAAGAATATGAGGAAATCTATACAACTGTAATCTGCTGTGATTCTTTCTGGGCTAAAAAAGAAAACAAGAGCTTCTCCCAGCGTTACCCATCCAAGTTCAACCTTCCCAATTATTGAATAAATTAATAGATAATACAAAAGAAAAAGTCCAAACTCAGTCCACATTTTCCTTTTTATTGCCAGCAACAGCAAGACAAAGCAAGTAGCTTGTTTGTTTTGTGAATTCAGTTCATTCATTACTCATTGGATCTGATCGCTTTGCTTTGGGTGTCGGTGTCGGTGGAACTCAATAACATCTGTCGGTCGGCTATGAGCATGTACGGCAGGGACCCCTGGGGGGGCCCGCTGGAGATAAACACGGCTGACTCTGCCACCGACGACGACCGCAGCCGGAACCTACAGGATCTGGACAGGGCGGCGCTGTCGTCGCGGCCGCTGGACGAGACTCAGCAGAGCTGGCTGCTGGGCCCCTCCGGCGAGCAGAAGAAGAAGAAGTATGTGGATCTGGGATGCATCATCGTCAGCCGTAAGATCTTTGTGTGGACGGTCGGGACGCTACTGGTGTCGGCCTTCCTGGCGGGCTTCATCACGCTCATCGTCAAGACTGTGCCGCGTCACCACCACGCCCGCCCTCCCCCCGACAACTACACTTTGGCGCTTCGCAAGTCCCTAATGTTTTTCAACGCCCAGCGATGTATGTTTGTTTTTTCCTTCTACTTTTGGTTGGTGCTTCTTTTGTTACAAAAAATACATGTCTCAAGACTCATTCAATACCCTCAGAAACATAAAGTGTAACTATCAAATCTGGATCATGTTTGTTTGTTTTTGGTTAATTTGGCTTCCTCAGATACTGTCATCACTAATTTGTCTGCCATTCATTCAATAATTATTTCATTCATGTTAATTTCCTATAATATATGGGCCTGTCAGCCGGAAAACTCCCAAAGCATAACAATGTGTCGTGGAGGGGTAATTCGTGCTTAAAGGATGGCAATGATCCCTCCACCACTTTCAAAGATCTTGCCGGTGGCTTTTATGATGCCGGAGATGCCATCAAGTTCAACTTCCCGGCCTCCTTCGCCATGACCATGCTCAGCTGGAGCGTCATTGAATACAGTGCTAAGTATGAAGCTGCTGGGGAACTCTCCCATGTTAAAGAAATCATTAAATGGGGATCCGATTACTTTTTGAAGACCTTCAACCATTCTGCCGATTCCATTGACCGACTTGTTGCCCAGGTATCCATCTCTCTGCCTAATATTTGCAGCATTCACTACTTAGCCCTCTCTTTTATTTTTCACTTTTCAGTGCCTATTGCTAATTTCCTAATCTGGTACTTTGCTAATTTGACAGGTTGGGGTAGGATCTACTGCCGGAGGAAGTACTACTCCTAATGATCATTATTGCTGGATGCGTCCTGAGGATATTGACTACCAGCGTCCTGTGTCTGAGTGTCATAGTTGCTCTGATCTAGCTGCTGAAATGGCCGCCGCTCTAGCTGCTTCATCCATAGTTTTCAAAGATAACAAGGCATACTCTCAGAAACTTGTTCATGGTGCAAAAACACTCTTCAGGTTTTCAAGGGAGCAGAGAGGCAGATATAGTGCTGGTGGTAGCACGGATGCAGCAACCTTCTACAACTCCACCAGTTATTGGGATGAGTTCATATGGGGTGGAGCTTGGATGTATTATGCTACTGGAAATTCCTCTTATCTTCAGCTTGCAACAACTCCGGGTCTTGCTAAACATGCTGGTGCCTTCTGGGGAGGACCTGATTATGGAGTATTGAGCTGGGACAACAAGCTTGCTGGAGCTCAGGTACGCTAGCAGAAGAATTCATGTTTTGATATGATGCGTGAAATTTCTAAAATCCATTTATTCATGTCTTACAACTATCTTCTGTTAATTCTATGTTCATTAATCAGGTCCTTATCTAATATCAGATTACATTCGGGTTATGAGTCTTATGATCTTCACAATTTTAGTTGCTTCATATTTTTTATTGCCAACACAATCTTGAAATTCTTTGACTAGGTGCTTCTGAGCCGTTTGAGGTTATTCTTGAGCCCTGGGTATCCATATGAAGAAATTTTGAGGACATTTCACAATCAGACTAGCATAATCATGTGCTCATACCTGCCTGTTTTTACAACCTTTAACAGAACAAAAGGTACGAGGTTCTTACTCCATAATTTTTTGTGTTTTGGACTTAATTGACCTCTTGGGGTTCTCAAGTATGGGATCTAACATCTTACTGACCTGCTGTAGGAGGCTTGATCCAGTTGAATCATGGAAGGCCACAACCTCTTCAGTATGTAGTCAATGCAGCCTTCTTAGCTACATTGTATAGTGATTATCTTGATGCTGCTGATACACCTGGGTGGTATTGTGGACCCAACTTCTACTCTACTGACGTGTTGCGAGAATTTGCTAAAACTCAGGTATATATTTTTCATTTGCTTTCTTTCCTTTAAATTTTTTTCAGTGAGGTTGCTGATGGGCCTTGAACTCCCCACACATGTAAAGACTCATGTTGAGACTTGATGGCCAATAACCTTTTTTTTTTCTTCACCCTCTCTTTGGCAGATTGATTACATCCTTGGCAAAAATCCTCGAAAAATGAGTTATGTCGTGGGCTTTGGTAATCATTACCCAAAACATGTCCACCATAGAGGCGCATCTATTCCAAAGAACAAAATCAAATACAATTGTAAAGGGGGGTGGAAATGGAGGGACACTCCAAAGGCAAACCCAAACACGATTGATGGGGCCATGGTTGCTGGTCCTGACAAACATGATGGTTTCCGTGATGTTCGTTCTAATTACAACTACACAGAGCCGACTCTTGCAGGAAATGCAGGTTTGGTAGCAGCACTCGTTGCTTTGTCGGGAGAAAAATCTGTTGGAATTGACAAAAATACGATTTTCTCTGCGGTTCCCCCAATGTTCCCCACTCCACCACCACCTCCGGCACCCTGGAAACCATGAGATGCTAAAGCGGTCACTGTTGTTTTAGTATGCTAAAGCGGTCTTGTCGACATAAACAGTAACTCAGTAACATGAAGATCAAGGGGATGGGCGCAAGGAAGTACTGGACAGACGTTGAGAGATTGTTGGGCTGGCCTTCGTCAAGAGGAATTGATAAAAATGTCTATTTGATTCAATTTTGTGATATATACAGTATATATGTGTGAGACAAATCCTTTATTTTTTGAAACATGGAAAGTGAACAGTTTGAATTTGGTTAACAGCAATGTCTCAAATGCCGATAATTTCGCTGATATTATCGGTTTTTCACGTTACCGATATTTTAATAGGTATCCATCTGGTTTTCGTCAAAATATCATGATATTTTCAAAACAATCGCGATATTTTGGAACTGTGCTAATCGGAGAAGAACGCCGGAGCTTTTATAGCTCCAGCCAACTGTAAAAGAGCACCCTAGACTTCGATTTAGGTATCAAAATGAAATATAAGACGAGATGAATGTTTTTATAAATTTCGTTTGCCGTGAAACGGTCGGAGGTGTTCGGAAAGTTCATCGACACCCACGGCCTCGCTGGAGATGGGTGTGCCTATTCCCGAGCCGATTTCGTCCTAAAAACCTTGCAAAAACACGATTTTGAACTTAAATTTCACATATAAGCTTCAATCTACAACAGAAAGAGGCAAACCCGAAGCTTACCTAACCGGAGAAATTCAAGAAACTCGCCGGAGTTCCTGCGTTCGCCGAGTTGCAGAGACGAGAAGGAGAGGGAGAAAGACGAGGTTGCTGATGATGATGGGTGTCTTCCTGAAGCTGGTGCGATGGTGTGCGTGTGTGTATGTGGGTCTCAGACCCTCGGTGCAAAGAGAAATGAGAGAGACGGTGCCGACGAGGGAGGAGCAGAAGGCGATGTGGGAGAAAGATCGAGAAACCTTGGGTCTATGTGCGTGTGTGTGGGAGAAAGATCGAGAGACTTTGGGTCTCTGTGCGTGTGTGTGGGAGATCTCTGTGTGTGTGGGGGAGAATGGAGAAGGGGGAGAAGGGAGCTCAAAGAAGAGAGAAGGATCCAGAAAGAGAGACTGTGTGCGTAATGAAGGGATAAATGTAGAAAGAGTATTAGAGGAGGAGGTGGGATCTAGCAGCGCTAACTCTTTGGAAGAACTTTTGCGCCCAAGACCAAGAAACACTGAAATTCCACCTTCTTCCAATCCTACACAACCACAACATCGTGCTGATATTAATGATAGCTCTAGTACAAGATCAGGAGACTCATCTACCACCGGAGGTGGGAATGATGAAAGATATAGTGGAGCTGGAGGTAGTGGTGGTGGATATGGAAACTATATTGGACCACCTCCCGGATTTATGAGCCCCTTCACTGGTGAGGCAAACTTCACGCATGCAACACAGGATGAGGACCATGGCAGTAGGCGGGCAGGACGAGGAATTTGTGCCATAGGGAAGGACTATACTCGTAGAGAAAAAGGCAAGGGGATTTTGTCAAGTCAAGAAGATGACTCGTTATCTATAACTTCGGACTCTGTTGGAGTGGGAAGTAGTAATTAACTATGGTTATACTCATAACCAACCATTTCCCTACCCTTCATATCCCATTCCTGTTGGGATGGAATCGAGCGACTCATGGAAACAATCCGAGACTCAATCTTCAAATGATTTTGCTTATGGACAACGTCAACCAATCTCAGATAAATATGGGTGGCATGTTAACAATTACATGCAAAACTATTTTGAGGATTTATCATTTGATAACTACTCTTCACAATACACTCACTTTACACATAGAGATGATGAAGATAGTGAAAAATTTGAACCTCATAGGAACTCTATGTGGTACTAAGTCACCCATGTATCTTACCATGCAATGTATAAAGTGTAAAATATTGTACTAATTCATTATATATAAATGATTATGGTGTGTTTAAACTTCTTTCATTAATTACTACATATTTTCTACACTCACAATGTTTGCCAGCTCGCTATATAATCAACTTGATAATGTTAAATCCATCATGCAATGCATTTCCTTCCATTTTTTGTGATAAACTAATAGATAATTGACTAAATAAAATCCTGGAAAGTTTCAATAAAAATTTCCAAGTTTTTCTTACAATTTCTGTGGTTTCTATATTATTTTTATCGATATCGATAATATTCCGATATTTTCATCGATATTTCCGTGTTTTCGGACTACCGATATTTCTGATATCATCGATATTTAATACCTCGGTTAATAGATAATAAATTTGAATTTTTCATGTCAATCGTAGTAGTATTTTTCTCGCTCCTTACCTCCCTGGAATTTGGGTTTTGACAAGAATGTGTCATGCTAATGCTGTTATGAGCATTGAGTTGTATTCAGAGTCTCGACCCGACTCAGCTTCTTACTTTACATGGATCTGTGCTATGTTTTCATTGTTTTTCTGGTGGCTGCTGGCGAGTTGGATAAGGAGCTCTGTAAGAATAACAATAACCAAATAACATGGATTCAACCAATTGAATCACAACTCACTAATAACCAATATGTAAAACTATAAACCAAAAGCTACAAAAAACTAACCTGCAGAATTCGATCCAGATGAAGTAGCCATTGTAGCTTCGTGAACTCAAAACCTTCTCCTCTTTAACAAGACACGATAGCTCTTGGAACGACGATGAACCGAGAGCTTGCAAGTAGTGGCTTAAGGGTTTAAGCCTTATATAGTATTCCTCTAACTATTCCATATTAGAATCAGTTTAGGATTTAAACTATACAATCAATACTAAATCATGAGTCTAAATGAGTTCCAGCACTAAGTTTCAATCCCACAGGGATTGAACAATTCTCAATACTCATATCCGAAAAGAATAAGGATAACTCACGACTTTTAATCAAAACTTTTCCATATCAATCTTAAACACTATAGCTATTCCTCTTACATAATTCATACACATAATCTTACACTTTCTACTTTAGTAGATGTAGATCTTGCAGTGGTAACTTTCCTCTTTTACTCGGTGAAATTCTGTACATTACCATGGCCATCTTGAATATGTATACCCACTGTTCTAAAAAGTGGTCTAAGCGGCCGCTCAGGTGCTGGGTGTTAGGCCGCCTTCACGATTATCCTAAAAGTGTTCAATAAATCAGAGGGGTTTAAGCGGTGACTAGGTGGCCAATTAGGCGTGCTAGGCGGCCTTGGCGGCGATATAGGCGGCCATGTTCTGTCTTGCCATTTCACTGCATGTCGTAGAAATGGAATAGACAACATAAGATCTAAAGAGAGAACGGGAGAGCATGAGGAAAGAGAGAGAACTGTAGAATGAATTTAAAAAATAGATCTGTAATTGCATGAAAAAGACGAGAATTTGATTTAGACGCTTGGGATTTCTGCCGAAGCAAGCAACGAGGGTTTCTTCGCTGCTTGAGAAATTTTGCAAAACAAAATAAATGGAGAATTAGGCAGAGCGATCGAAGAAGGGAGGAAGACGACACGGAACAAAAACCAAAATCAAAGCTTTCGGCTTTTAAAGTCTCAAAAACCAGGATCTTCTTCGGATCCGGGTATCCTTTAATTGTCATTCGTCGTAAATTGTGTAACCAGTTTTCGTCAGGTACTATTGGTAATTAATTTTAAATATAAAATTTAAAATAATTTCTAACCGTATAATGTACGATGAATTGACATGACTAGAAGATCCTCACAAAGAGGATCACAAAAAGATCAAAAGAGTAAAGGATCCGAAGAGGATCCACTTTCTCAAACACCAACTCTTCGGTTTCCAAGGCCTTATAAATTATAATAAAAGAATAAAATACAATTTTCCACTCTCTCGCTCCTCTCTTTCCCTCTCCTCCATCTCTCATTTTTTGCCCTAACTGATAGGGTTTCCATGTCCATATAGCTCCAACCTCTCATGCATCAGTGCCTTCAACCTTTACCGATCGTTGTTGCAGCAGCCTTAATCGTTTCTGGGTCTCTCTCTTTCGAGGGTTTTTTGGCGGAAAGCTTTGCACTTTTGGCCTCCCAGAGGTTTTTGAGTTGCACCCATGTCAAAGCTACTTGGTTTCTCCGGTAAGTCTTGAGACTTTTCATGTTTTTTGTGTTGAATTTATTGTTTTTGGGCTTAAATAGTTGTCCGCTTGTTTGGAATTTGTGATTTGAATGATGTCTAGCTGTTAAATTTGTACATTAGAGATGAAATATTTGGAAATTTGATGAGCTAGCTTGTTGATCTGTTGTGTTTTCTTGTTTTAGTGAATTTTGATGATTTTAGTTTCATTTTTCGAATAATATTTTGGATTTAGAATAATAATTTAGGGTGCTTAGATGAAATAGTTTTGGATTTGAAACCCTAAGATCTGATCAGCCTTTTGGTTCATGTATTCAATTTTGGGGTTATTGTATTTTTTTTTCTTTTTTGGGTGAATTAATTGCTTTCTAAAATTAGATGAGGATTAATTAACCATAGTTTTAGAAAGCACCATAACTCAGGAGTTTAGTACTTGTTTCTTGCGTGGTCCATGTTTGCATGTTGATAACTCAAAGTTGGGCTTCGATTTGATCACATTGGTTTTCTTTTCTAATTTGTTGTTCTTATGGATCTTTATGATTTTCTGTTCTTTTTTTAGTTTATAAACTTGCTCTATGTTTGAGAGTACTTTTTGTATGCAGAGACATCCCAACTTCTGTTTGGGTTCAACTTTGTTGAAGGGGAGCATACTGCTTTTTGAAGGGGTTTGGGTTCTTGGCTTATGATTTGATTTTGTATTGCTTGGGGATTGTTTAATGTGCAGATTTTTTTAGCTTGGATTCTTTTGTACGTCTACTTTATGGAACCGTCCTCACATTTGGTTTGCTATTCATCTGTTATCCTTCACTGTTTTCATAGAAAGATTGTCTTTGGTTTACGCTTCTTTGCTTCATTGTCTTCTAGCACTGGTTTTAAGCATCTTGGCTTCGTTTATATTTTAATACTGCAGCCTGATGTACAAATGATGGGATTCATTACTATTTGACAGATGCTGAAGTTTGTTTGGCGACTTTAAAATTAAGGAATTTTCCTTGGATAAGATCCGGCATTTTCATTTCAGATGCAGCTGTCTTTAAACATAGTTACAGAGGAGGGCACTCTGTGGTTTGATTTCAAGAGGGATTATGATGCTTCTTTTGTTGTGATTAGTTTTTTCTTTAAAGCGTTGTTAGATGTGATTCTAAATGTACGCAGTGAAGAGTGGAGCCTTATTTCATTGGATCCTAGAGGAGTATAGATTGCTTCTAAAATGGAGCCTTATTTCACGTGATGTTTGAAACTAAATCTGTGCAACCTGTGCTGCTATAATTTTTTTTTTTCCCAAACCAAAAAAAAAAAAAAAGAAAAAAAGAGAGGACCCGTGGACCAGGCCAGGTTAGGTCCGATTGCTGTATTGAAATATGATGTACTCGGCCCGATCCGTTTCTTTTAAACCTAGATCCGGTCCGGTTCTTTCAAAATTGGGCCCGGGCCGGTCCGTGCCCAGCTCTATTCCCCATCTCCCAAACTCCTATTAGACTTAAGACGCCCACTCTTCTCCTCCTCGACATCATCCCTCACAAAAAACCCAGTCTCAGACCACCATCGCCGTGGCGAGTCGCGACCACCACCACTTGAGCTCTCTTCCTCAATGACATCCCAGAGAACCCAGGTCTTAGAACCCAGTTCTCCCACTCCTGATTCCAAGTCACAGACCATCGATTCACCATCGTCCCCCATCACTGCCGTCGCGACCACCGTCATCCAGAACACTGCCGGTCATCATGTGAGCAAGATCCCAGTTGAAAATTCATGTGGTGGTGGGTGATAGGTGTAAATGTACAAACTGAAGAAGAAGAGGAATGCATTTTTTTTTATGGAATTTGAGAAATTTGATTACTCTGTCGAATTAGGATTTTGGGCCAATTTTGCGATTTTCTTAATTAATTGTGCTTAAGTTGACGCATCATGCTTGATATATAATATGTTCGAAAATTAATCTTTACCCTTAGAAAATGCATGTTATGATTCTAATGCTGCTAGCATCTGACTGTAAAAGAGTGTGCTTTGTCTTCTCTATAGATTCGTTCGAATATGTGCTGCTGTGTTTTTGAAAAAAACAAAATAACATTTTGTTTTAAAGAAAAAAAAATAATTGGACCCGTGGATCCGTCCCGAATCGGCACGTTTCGAACGAGCCGGGTTAGGGCCGGTTCCAATGATCAAATTTGCAATACTCGACCCAGCCCGTCCAATTTTTTTTTTTAAGCGGGTCTGGTCCGGTCCCTTCAAATTTAGCCCGACCCGGTCGGTGCCCATCCCTATTATATATAAAGTGAGCACTCGAAAATGGTGAAACATTCAAAATACCATAAATTGTCCTTTAAGAATTTCATAAATTATAATTGAACCAAAAGAAGCTAAAGTATTTAACCATATTTTTATTTTGAATGAATTTAATATTTAAAATTATAGAAAAAAAAAAAAACAAAACCTCCCACATTAGTGGGTGGTTTCACATTTTTAATTCATTTCTTCTTCTTTTTTTTTAAATAATTTTAAAAAAATATGTAAATTAATTATTTAAATAAAAGATATATATATAAAGTGAGCACCCTAAAATGATGAAACATTCAAAATACCATAAATTGTCCTTTAAGAATTTCATAAATTACAATTGAACAAAAAAAAGCTAAGGTATTTAACCATATTTTTATTTTGAATGAATTTAATATTTAAAATTATAGAAAAAAAAACAAAACAAAACCTCCCACATTAGTGGGTGGTTTCAAGTTTTTAATTCATTTCTTCTTTTTTTTTTTTAAAATAATTTTTAAAAAAATATGTAAATTAATTGTTTAAATAAAAGATATATAAAAATGTCAATTGCTACACGCGTATGTGTGTGGCAAGAGGCTAGTATTTACTTAAATCCGCATAAACAGCCTAGGCGTAAGGCCCCAATCCGCTTCCTGACAAGTGACTAACGTCTTTTAGAACCTTGTGTATACCCCTAATTTATTTGCTGCTTCTCCACTTTATTATCTTCTTTTTCCTTTGCTTTGGAACGGGTATTCTTTGTCCCCAGAATAAAAGTTTCCCTATACAAACATATTCAATGTCCACTAAAGCAAGATTCATTTCCGTCCCGACCAAAAATGCTCGCCGTGGCAATCTTTGTTGGTGGATTGTTCATTTTGGTGTGACGAAGCTATGGCAGAATAACTCAACAGCTTTTTAGAGTATACACCGACATGGGTGGTTGCACTTGTTTGCCTTGTCATTGTTCTGCTATCTGATCTCTTTGTGCCGAGCGCACGCTTCATAAACTTGGAAAGGTATCCAAAAATTGTTCCCCTCTCTTATCATATTTGCCGTCTTTCTAACACTTGAAATCTTTTTGCTTTTTCTCCCTCCCACGCTGGAAAATGCTTTCCACCGTGCCATCCCTATCCCCATCCCCCGGCATGCCACCTCACCTAGCTGTTCACAACAAATCTAACTTCACCAACAGTTCCTGAAACAACGTTAGCAACTACAATCATTATCAAATTTGATAACAGAGTTCGCCTAGATCCTTTAGTAGCGGTTTGATCAGTTTGATCACAAGGTTCATGATGATGGTGAAGATTCAGAAGATGTAGTGCTAAACCCACCTATGTAAAAAGCTCAATATTGCTAGAATTTCATAAGTGTTGAAGCTTGAATCAGGCCCCTGGATAAAGAACATAGATAATGGGTCAAAAGAAGTAATAGAACGATGATAAATTAGATATAACTTTAGTCATTCCTAACAGTAGCGGTGGATGGAGTTTGTCTTTCATTGTCCCTTATTGGTACTTAGAGAAAAATAACCCCTTGTCGTCAGTTCCACAATAACAAGTAATAACAGTCCTACTTCTTCATCTTCTTCAGTCATCACCATACTGCTCCTTGTTCAATCTATAGAATTGTTAGCAGCTGGTGAATATGGACACATGCGAATAAGCAGGAATGTATTGACAGGTGATAAATGCAATGTATACACGGAGGGCGGGAACTTATTTGATCAATAAATATTTGTCAGAAATTGATACTGCTGAGATTCAAATAATTCCGAGGGAGGGAAAGCAATCTCAAAATCACAATTTTGTAAGAAAATTGTAGGAAATAAGTTCTGTAGCTTATGAGAACTTTTAAATATATTTCTTAGCTCTAGTTCACAAAAGGTGCACGTGGTATTGATAAACTGCGAAACATGTCCAACTTTTTTGAAAAGTGAGGATTTTTCCAACTTTCAAATATTATCGATGGGTAGAGTCATATAGTACTCTTTAACTCTGTTTTTGACAAAATTGGACTTATCTATTAGGACAATTCTTCAAGCGGTTATTGAGCGCATTGAAAAACTTTCAACTAGTTTTGCTGTTTGGTTTAATGATTTTTGCCTTTGAAAATTCAGTATTTAAAGCATGAGTAACAAGATGCACAGTTTGAAACCCTACAGAAACTAAAAGAAGGTCACTCCCTCTATAAACATATCATTTTATTCTTGTATCTCAAGTCCTTTGTGCGGTAGCTCCAAATCGTCCGAGACTCGGAGAACGAGCCAATATCAAGAAGATTTGGCATGCTCCCGGTGTTTTAACCTGAGTAGACCAGAAACCCACAATTGTACTATTCTGAATTGGTGAAGTCGATAGACGTCTTGAATCTCTAGATTAACATTATACTCCATTCTCTGATATGCCAAGGACTCAGCTCCCATTAAAATCTCAACAATCCAAGTTTCAACTTACGGGAAGTCAAACGAAATAAAAATCCAAATCTCTAGTCCAGCAGCTAGTTGAGAAAATACTCAAACGAGACAAGTACATCGTTATTGCATTAGCAGCACAGAAACCAGGCACCAGGCACATAAAATATGTAACATCCCTATAGCAACCAGGTATGAACACAGTAGTTCATAAAAAATTCTACATTTTACAAAAATATTATTAGTCTTCTGTTTTCTTTTGTTTGCCTAGTTTACATAGTTACAAAAACTACCCCTCCCCTTTCTTCCCCAAAAGGGACAACTAAGACATAAAATCACTAACCAATCCAATTATCTGCAATCAAATTTCCATGAGTGTATTCAGCCTACCATGTTCTTATATGCTTGGGTTTTTCAAGGGGAAGCTTCTCCATCTCTAAACTGCCATGGTCCAAGGCTGATGCTTCCGCTCCTCCACTAGTTTCTGCCCTTTTAAGCTTATTTAAAGCATTTTTTGCATAAACAGTAAAAGCAACTGTGGTTATAACTGCAACAATTAAGGATATAACGTTGTATACAATCTCCACTTTAGTCAAGTGATAGTTCCCATACTTAACATTTGCAAATGTCCTTATTAAGCGACCACTGCACAAGAAAACAGAAGAAATAGCTGAGGAAAAAGAAAAAAAAAACAGTTTTATTCTCTTTAAAGATTGACATTTTGACTGGCAATACATGTATGGATATCAGAAATGACATGCAAAATTGTTAAACTTTATCACTAAAAAATACTTAACAAAATTGGAATTTGATGGTACCAAAACAATCATACTGGATAGGGAAACCAACCTGTAGATGTAAATGAAAGCCTCTGGCACCATTCCAGCAACTGATCCACATAAGTAGGGCCAAAATGTCATACTGGTAACAACGATTGCATAGTTAAAAATTGTGTACGGAAAGGGTGAAACCCTAAAGAGAGCAACCACTCGAAATTGATGGAACCAACTCCCTTCCCCGGCAAGTCTAATCATTGCAGCATTTCGGGGCCATCTATTTAACCATTGCTGCCCAATAATTAAATACAAAAATGCAATGAAAACGTTATTTAAAGAAACAAAAAGGTAAGAAGAAAGAAGAAAAAGAAAGGCTCTCTTCAACAAGTCATTATTGGTTCCAAAAACATGAAAATCTTACATGTATGCGATCACGGAAAAACAGACCAATTAGATATGGCAGGACCATCCCAATAGTTGTTCCGACCATGATGATAACAAACCCTAAGCCATAACCAAATATCATTCCAGCCAGCCACATGGAAGGGCCAGAAGGTATTAGGACCACAGGGAACAAAGCGAGTGAAGCAACGAGAACAAGGGCAAGAACTGGACGGCCAAATGCAGTAGCTTCCCATTGCATTATTGGTAAGAGAACCTATGATAAGTCAAAAAACTTCAGGTATCACGAAAAAAAGAAATTGAATTTGTCCAACAACCAAACAATGTATAAAATTACAAACAGGACAATAGCTAGTGAACTATAACATGTTCTATAAGAGGAACTAATGAAAGAGGAGTAAAAGGAAGGACCTTTTCAAAAAGAAACGGCATCCCCCATTTTAAGAAAATGAGGAGCAATATAATGATAACAAGGCACCAAGCTAAGGCTCTAATCCACCACAAGAAAGATTTAACCCTTGTCTCTGATTGAGGCTGCAAGATATCAGCTTCTGCCGCCCTTGTTTCATTGGATACAACCAGCCTAACATACTCACTGTCTTCTCTAACATAATGCACTGAGGTTGGATGCTTCCCTAACTCTTCCAAGGAGTTTGTCATCATCAACAGGACCCCAGATGCAGTAGAAGGCTATCAAATTTAACAAAAAAAATATTACAAGCATCATAAGACACAGATATGAAACCTTTTCCTCTTGAAACATGTAACATGTTATATGAAAATGACCAGAAATTTGTTGGTGTTTTGGGGTTGGGGGGGGTGGGCGTTAGAAAAGGTGAAATAGTTACCCAGAAATATAATGAGAATCCTGAGCCATTTGTGGACAAAGGAAAATAATCCCCATATCATGCATTAATTAGCATGATATTCTATGAGAATTCCACAAGGGACAAATGGGATTGACAATTGTGACTATAAGAATATGAAACAAACCACCAGACAAAAGTGGGGAGACTGAGACTGGTGGTTTGTGATTATATATGGCTGTTATGCATACCAAGGAACTCAAGACAACTGTGGCACATACTATCACAAACCATCAGTCTCACTCTCACCACTGGTTGATCAACCAAACATAAAAAAAATAATTAGGTTATCTACACGGCCCCAATATACTTCTGGTTAAATGCCACCAACTGCACTCATGATAACTCCAATCTAACTCGACAAGAACTTACCTGGAATCTTCTAGAGTTGAAACAGTACCAGTAATCACTCAAAATTAGCTGAAATTTACTAACATTAGCAGAAGTACCCAGAACTTCTTCAAACTTGACAAAATTATCCTATTCTACCAGTAATCACTCAACATTAGCTTGATTCACAAAAAAGGATAAGCGCTGTTTTGTTTCGGCCTTTCCTTCTGAACTGATTTTTTAGCAACTACAGTTTGTTCTTATCATATCAAGATCTAAAAGCAATGTATTCGAATGCAAACTAAATTCTATTAGTCACATATGTTATCACATCCCATATCCGATTTCTGCTAGGTGCTACTGAATCTTTTCTGCTAGTCGACTTGTGGAACAGACTGAGTTAGAATCAAGCTATTTTGCAAATCTTGATTTTTGTTTTAGAACAGAAGGAATATCCAGTGCTACATCTAGATATTTCGAAGGGAGAAAATCCCCCCAGACCTGCATTTATAGTTAAGAGATTTCCTAGTATCAAAGGAACATTATCATCAATAGTTAAGAGATTTCCTAGAATCAAGCTTAGTTGACAGCTCTGACCCTCAAGACCCTCACCCTTAAAACATTATTAAACAAAAAGGGCGGAAATCTGATACGCCAGGTCTAAAGCTAAGACCCAAACCAGGAAGGTGTCAGCTGCAAAATTCTTCTCCAATAGCCCATGTGAGGTTGTGGACCTCCTATGCTGGCCATGGGGTGACAAGTCTCCAAGTTGTTTTGAACTAAGTTAACAGGAAGATAGAATCAGTTTCAAGAAGGACAGCTTTACAACCACTTTCCCAGGCCAGTTTTATATGGAAGAAAATCCCCCCAAAGCTCCGCCTCCAGCACCTATCCTCTCCCCAGATTTTCTGTGAATCCCGCAGACCGCTATTCATTAGAATCCCGAATAAGGGTTCCTGCACCAATATGTCCATCAGCACCATTCTTACAGCCATCAATGCCTAGCTGCCTAGACTGGAGGGTGTGGATCCATTGCAAGGAAGACTTGGAGTGTGGATGATTTTAGACCCAAAAATTTATAAGCATTAAGCCACTCCTGTCATGGAGAGGGTTTAATGTTGACAATTACATTCCTCTGATTCGGAATCTCACTCATTGCTTTCATAATTGTTCATAAAACTAGAGTGTGCAGCTCAAATTAAAGAATTAATATTCTAATTCCTACACTTGAGCACTAAAAAACAGGAAGATAAATGGTGTGGGTGCAACCATTCAAGTGAAGAAATTAAGCTTATCACGTTCAGATCATTAGAATTCTATCTGGATTCAACTATAATTTTTGGAGAATTTAAATTATTATGGTATTGCAGTAAGTATTTATAATTTTTTTATGTGATTTCTTTGGATTTCAGAATTTTTCTTGTGCATCCCTTTATCCCTTGTCCTCTTTTGTAGACTACATGCTCAGATAACGGGCGATAACACCACTAAATTCAAACATCAAGATTACCGTAACGCAACATAGCTACTTTGGAGATGTCCGTCTACTTCTGGTTGCTACTGTCCTCAACCAAGGGAAGGGAAGCACCTTGAGATGAAAACCTTAGATTATGAAATTAGATTATCTTTTTTCGATTAGCATGTTTAAAATTAGTAAACGCAGAAGGGTTGCAGAAGATCGGACGGGACGGGGCGGGGCGGCAGTCAAGTGGATAATACGAATTCTTATGTTGAGGAAATGAAGAAAATCAAAGACAAACAGAGCTCGAGGAAGCAGTTGCAGTAGAAATCCTAAACCCTAACCAATTAAAATGCCAGATATACAGACAGAGATAACTATTAGCTCGCTAGGGTTTTGAAGCAATGAATTACTGGAATTAATCAACATTAAAAAAAAACAGAAAAGGAAAGAGAATTGACCTACTTTACCTACGTCTCTTTCTAGCGTAACCGAGCTGAGGAGTTTGGAGTTTGAGTTGAACCACCGGCAGCCGGAAGCTGGCTGGGCTGCTATGAGTCGGCGGGATACTTGGCTGTTGCTTTTTTCCCAAATTTTATTTTTCAGCAGCCCACGGCCAGAAGAAAGAATAATATCTGCAAAACCAAAGACAGAGTTGATATTTCTTCGGTTTGCTTCAAATCAAAGTGTTAACAATAAAATAAATATTTAGAGACCGTGGAGCGCCTACCGAACGTGACTTTTTGTCCGTTGGTCTCGCATCAAGAAGAATGAAAAAAAAAAAAAAAAATTGAATTACATTTTATTACCTCAATATCATATCTCAACTTATAAATTCGTTACAATATTAGACTTTCGTTAAGTTTTCTATCAATTTGGTTGTTAAACTTACAAAAAGGTAATCATCCCATATACGTAGGTGAGAAGCCTAACTGCCACGCCTACTTGTCTGCCCTGAATGTCTCCTTATTCTCACTGTTTTGAGGGTTGAAAAATAAGAAATTTTTTCCACGTCAGTTTTTGATAAATTTATACTTAGAAAAACACTTCAAACTCAATAATTCAGAAACATGAAAAAACTAATGTATTTTGTATTGAGAATAAGGATCCAAAAATCTCCGAGTCTACATAGGTAGTTGATAGTTTTATTTCCCTTTTATTTGAACTTTTAAATAGTTTTTATAAAATCATAAGGTATTTTATTTTATTTACTAACATATGGGACTAAAAATATTAATCATATTTTCAAGTTTTTAATTGATACACACACACACACACACATATAATGAGCACCAAATAAAGATGTTGATGAGACTAAATTTGGAGACAAAATTTGCAAACTAAATGATGGGTCACCGATAGAATGAACACATTTATCAGCGCTTAAGTATAAACCAATCATTAACTTCTATGTCCTTTGGTGTCCAAAATTTTATCTCCAACATAACTCCTAGACCCATAAAGTGGGATGATGTTCTCAGTACCCGTATTCATTCTAAAATTTGCATTTCGGCCTCTTTTCTTTCAATTCGACAGTTTAAAAGTTTTGTATTCTTTTTATTTTTTTGGGATGACCTATGAGATATACAGTTGGATTTTTTGAGACATAACTCGTTGACCCATAAAGTGGGATGATGTCCTTATTATTCGTATTCATTCGAAAATCTGTATTTTGGCAATTTTTCTTTCAATTCAATTGTCTAAAAGTTTCGTATTCCTTTTACTTTTGAGGATGACCTATGCGATGTACAGTTCGATTTTTTGAGACATAACTCGTTGACCCATAAAGTTGGATGATGTTCTTATTACCCGTAATCATTTGAAAATTTGTATTTTGGGCTTTTTTCTTTCAAATCAAAGGTCAAAAAGCTTTGTATTCTTTTTAATTTTGGCAGAAATGATCTTTAAGGTATGACCTATGAGATGTACAATTGGATTTTCGAAGCGTAACTCATAGACCCATAAGGTGGGCTGATGTTCTCATTACCTGTATTCATTCGAAAATCTGTATTTCGGGCTTTTTTCTTTCAATTTAACAGTCTAAAAGTTTCATATTCTTTTTATTTTTGGCAAAGATGATTGTTAAGGGATGTCCTATATGATGTATAGTTGGATTTTTGAAACATAACTCGTAGACCCAGAAAGTGGGATAATGTTCTTAGTACCCGTATTCATTCGAAAATATGTATTTCAGGATCTCTCCTTTAAATACAACAATCTAAAAGTTTCGTATTCTTTTTATTTTTGGCAGAGATGATCTTTAAGGGATGACCTATGAGATGCATAGTTGGATTTCGAAACATAAATCGCAGGCCCATAAAGTGGGATGATGTTCTCATTACTCGTATTAATTCGAAAATCTGTATTTTGTCTTCTTTTCTTTCAGTTCAACAGTCTAACAGTTTGAAATTTTTTTTTTTTTTCCAGAGATGTGTTTAAGGGATGACCTATGAGATGTATAGTTGTATTTTCAAAACATAACTCGTAGACCCATAATGTAGGATGATGTACTCATTACCCATATTCATTCGAAAATATGTATTTCGAGCTATTTTCTTTCAATTCAACAGTCTAAAGTTTTCGTATTCTTTTACTTTTGGTAGGGATGATCTTTAAGGATGACCTATGAGATGTACAATTGGATTTTCAAAACATAACTCGCAGACCTATAAAGTTGAATGATGTTCTCATTATCCGTATTAATTCGAAAATCGGTATTTCGGCCTCTTTTCTTTCAATTCAATAGTCTAAAGTTTCGGATTCTTTTTATTATTTTTGCAGAGATGATCTTTAAGGGATGATCTATGAGATGTACAGTTGGATTTTTAAAACATAACTCGTAGACCCATAAAGTGGGATGATGTTTTCATTACCCGTATTCATTCGAAAATCTGACTTTCGAGCTCTTTTCTTTGAATTCAACAGTTTAAAATTTTTATACTCCTTTTAATTTTGGCAGGGATGATCTTAAAGGATGACCTATGAGATTTACAGTTTGATTTTTGAAACATAACTCGCAGAGCCATAAAATGGGATGATGTTTTCATTACCCGTGTTCATTAGAAAATATGTATTCCTGGCTTTTTCTTTCAATTCAACAATCTAAAAGCTTCGTATGCTTTGAAATATAATCATATCTACTATTTTCAGATAATTATACAGGTTTTACGGCAAGGGGTTACTACTTTTGATAGTGAAATGGTTTAGAAAAGCTTTGTTTTTGCCCACTCATACTTTCTGTTTTGTGCCCCTCCAGGTTTTAGGTAAGAGTGCTCGTTGGTGGCTCAAGAGGATTTCACGGCAGCTCTGACAGATTATCGCTAAAGTAGGACCATTTTTAGTATTGTATAATGAGTATTCGTCCTGCTGGACTGCACTTAGGCTACATGCGCTCTGGTTATGTATAGTCACTTCTATTATCGCACTTTCACCTTATCTCATCTAGTGTTTTAGTCCGTTGGTTTTTATTTATTCGAATTTCTTATATCATTATTGCTTCCGCACTGTGCACATGACTACGTCACCCTCACGTGACGGCCAGCATGCCTCGATATTAAGTTGGGGTGTGTCAACATCATCCCACTTTATGGGTCTACGAGTTATGTTTCAAAAATCCAACTATATGCCACCCCTCGGCATGTGTTCTTTTACGCTTGTCTCCACATGCTTCCTTGTATCCTTCTCACTTGCCCTATCTGTTCCTCAGGCATATGTGGTATCTTATCTGGAAGCATAAGATGTTGAAGATGAGTACTCGAGCGCAATGCCAAGTAAGTAATCAGGTAAGGGGTTCCAGGCAGTGGGTTCCTGACTGGAAGCTTGATTCTAAGTGCTGACTGATTGCTCTCTTTCTTCTTGTCTTGCATGTAAGAACAAGGCCAAAGGAAAAGATGGGGAAAAAGTATGATATGGGATACTCTTACTTTAACCCTGATGATATGAGATACTCTTGCTCTGGTGTGGCTTGTTTGCAAAAGTATTATCCGGAGGAAAAGAAGCTGAGTATTTCCAGAGACTTTGCTGAGAGTGCCCTCTCGGATGTTAAGAAAAGTTGAGCATTTTTTTTATTTGCAGGTTTGCTTGGCTGTGGAGGATGGAGGTCGACATATATAGGAGTCTCCCTAACAACAAGTAGCAATGCTATTCCTTTACCCTTCTTGGTCATAGCAATGTAGTGGGAGCTGCAAGCTTCACATGTTTTAACTTTGTCAGAGCACTTTGAAAAAGTGGTCTGTGGTATCTGGAAAACTGATGTTGCGTGTGAAGATTGCAAATAAGCTTTATCCAAGGAAATCTAGCTCTCAAAGTTCGGAGAGCGGTGCCTATTCGGTTTTCAAACAAGCAATCCTGTCGGGGAGTCTGGCTCTCGAGATTCATAGAGCAGCGTCTCTTTAATTTTTAAGAAAGTAATCATGTTGGGAGTCTAGCTCTCGAGATTCGGAGGGAGGTGCCTCTTTGATTTTTGAGCACGTAATCCTATTGGAAGTCTGGCTCTCGAGATTCGGAGAGCGGTGCCTCTTCGATTTTTGAGAAAGCAATCCTGTTGGGAGTCTGACTCTTGAGATTCGAAGAGCAGTGTCTCTTAGATTTTTGAGAAAGTAATCCTGTTGAGAGTCTAGCTCTCGAGATTCAGAGGGCGGTGCCTCTTCGATTTTTGAGCAAGCAATCTTGTTGGGAGTGTTTTCTCGAATGTGAGTAAAGGTTAGGCATTTTTGCCAGTCTGCCTTGCCACGGAGTACGGAGGTTGACACACATTGGGATTTTCTAGTTATCAAGCAGTGGTGCTATTCCTTTGCCCTTGTGGGTAATAGTAGGGTAGCTGGACCTTCAAAAAATATGTGTCTAAAATTTGTCAGAGATCTTTGGCAAAGTTATATGTGATACCTGAGGAGCTGATGTTGTGTGTGGAAAGTGGTGCCTCTTCGGAATCTGGAGAGTGGTGCCTCTTCGATTTTTAAACCAACGACCATGTTACCCTTTTTTTTATAAGGGCACCAGTGGTGTGCAAGAAGTACATTAAGAGAGTTATTGCTTGTAGGAATTTTCCCTTTACTTTAGAGATTTATTGCACTTATTTCTCCTTTATCATTTCTGAGAATGTCTGGCCTATCCGACCGTCGTTTTGACTTGAACTTTGGTGAAGAGGCAGCCATGCCTTCTCAAGACAACATATGGCGCCCATCCTTCTTATCCCTTACTAGTCCTCTTACTGTTGGGGACTTTATGATGAAGAATGATATGACCGTTGCGGTGGTGGCCAGGAACCTTCTCACTCCCAAAGATAACAGACTACATTCTAAACGGTCTGATGAGTTGGCTGCTAAGGATTCTCTGGCTCTCAGTGTTCAGTGTGCAAGTTCTATGTCTAATATGGCCAACGCCTATTTGCTCGAACCCACCAAGTTAAATCATTGGCGGCTGAAGTGATAAGTCTCAAACAAGAGATCAGAGGGCTCGAGTATGAGAATAAACAGTTGCACAGGCTCACACATGACTATGCTACAAACATGAAGAGGAAGCTTGACCAGCTGCAGGAATCTGATGGTTAGATTTTGCTTGATCATCAGAGGTTTGTAGGTTTGTTCCAAAGGCATTTATTGCATTCGTCTTCTGGGGATGTACCACGTAATGAAGCTCTGAATGATCAACCTTCGGTGCTTCCTCCTTCTGGGGTTCTGTCCAGTA